AGGATTGGGGAAGGGCCCAAGAATCTGCATTTCTAACAAATTCCCAGGAGGGTGCAGATGCAGCACAGGCTTTGAGAACTACTGCTTTAGATGCTTTTGAGGCACAGACTAGAATACCATGATTATAATCACAATCAAAAAACCTTCCTCAGGGATTTCCCTGGTGGTGCAGGGGATAGGAATCCGCCTGCCAATACAGGGGACACGGGTTCAATCCCTGGTCTGGGAAGATCCCACATGCCGTGGGGCAACTAAGCCTATGCGCCACAACTACTGAGCCTGAGCTCTAGAGCCCATGAGCCACAACTACTAAGCCCATGTGCCACAACTACTAAGCCCATGTGCCACAACTACTGAAACCTGTGTGCCTAGAGCCCGTGCCTCACAAGAGGAGCCACCTCAAGATGAAGCCCGCGCACCACAATGAAGACCCAAAGCAGCTCCGCCCCCCCCCCCACACGCCTTTCTCAAAGTAACAACAGCAAAAAAAACCCCATCTCTGTTTTTCTCTGCTGCTCAGGACACCAACCTGGCTGCTTCTTCATCTCCTCACCAGGCGGTCTCTGTCTCAGGGATTTATAGCCCAGGGGTCCTCAACTAAGTGCTGAGGCTCTCCTGAGAGGTGCCTGGACATCCACGGGGAAATTTCTGGCTGCCACAATGACTGGAGGGAGTGCTACCAGCATTTTGTGGGGGAGAGGGGACCCAGGATGTGCTCTATGTCCTACAATGCTCAGGACAGTTATACTAAGGGAGGAATTGTTATGCCCCAAATGGCATTGTGTCTCTAGGCAAAAAATGAAGGCTCATTGGTCATTTGGTTTCTAACTTGGGCCTGTGGATTGTCCACCAGTTTCTGAAGGTCACTCAAGGACTTTCAGTGTGAAGGCCTTTGCTGGCCGCACTCAGCCATCGAAAAGGAGGCCATCAAAGGCCTGTTCTCCACAGTCTAGACTTGCCTGACCCCTTAATATTGATACAATTTTGTTTATAGCCCACTACCCAACTATGATGGGACCAATCCCCTCCTTGTCATAGCAACCATGTAAACAAGACTTATTTTTAATCCCTCAGAGTAAAAGCTGGGCAGCTGCCTAGGGGAGCCATGGCCCATTACAGGAGCCCTCCAGAATGCCAGAGGTCGGTTCAGCCCTCTGCATGGCCAAGCATGCCACTGCCCGTGGCTGTTGCCGGAGGACACTGTCTCCCTGAGGTCCTCCAGACAGTGGCTGCTACTAATACTATGGGAGAGTATCCACTGGGCATTCAGCAGGCAGCTTGCTTCATGCAAACACTCTACACTCCCCCTTCTTTAAGGCTGCATGACCTTTGTCAACAGAATAAAACAGGGCACAGGGACCACATGTCAGATTTCAGAAATGGCTCACAACATCTAGTTGGTGAAATGCCAGGCTCTAGGCCAATTCTATCACTATCTAGGTCCAACTATAATTCTGGACTCCTTAGGTGACCTTTCTGGGCCTCAGCTTCATGTCCACAAAAAGAGGTTTGTGTGGGTATATGGTCTTAAGGAACACTCCAGCTCTATATTTTATGATCTGGGGATAGGATATGGTTTTCATTAGCTTATTTTGCTCTGGACACTAGCATTTCATGTTTTCTACATAGGATGTTGCCTCAGCAGTCTGGCAGAAATGGTGTAGGAATCATGGATTTGCAACAGCAAAATTATCACCTGTTCTAACCCCAAAGAGAGAAATCAGCAGGCAGGCCTAGCACTATTTGTACCTATTAATTTTATATTCAGCAGCTGGCCAAGAACAAAAATATACATCATTCAATATTTACATCAGGGCTCTAATCACAGTGCCCATTCTGCACTTAAATGCACTGCACTAATTTTACAGGGAAACTGTGGTAGGGAGAATGCAAAACCAGGTTAAAGTGAGACTGTTTTAAATACCACTGCTCTCTGTTTTTAATGTCACTTTAAGTGTATTCCTGTAAAGGAAAGGCGATAGTTTCCTGCTTGCCCACTGAAAGCTGTGGCCTATCATAATTTAATTTTTGGAGAAAAGATGTTCAAAATTAATCTCAGCTCCCTCACTTAGAAGCACTACCATTTAATAAGTTTCAGCCATGTGCTAGAAAGACAATACAATTCTAACGTCCCAGCAAACCCTGCAGTAAGGTTCCCATTTTACTGAAATGAAAAAGAGCTTCATAAAAATTCTGCTTTGTTCTCCATGACTGATAAGGAAGAGGCATTCTACAATATTTGTTTAATGCAAGATTCTTTTCAAAATGGCAAAGGGAATATAGTATCTAAATGTGACTGCAACTCTCCCCAACCCACCCCCTGACATCAAGTGTCTGAAAGCTGCAAGGGCCTACTAAGCTAATCACTCTGGTTGATTACACACTGATCTCAGAGATTTGCCTTCTCCAGGGGGAACTGAACACAAAACGCGGAGTCAAGAGAGATACTTGAAGGCGACGGGCCTTCCTATCTCACGGCCAAGAATTGCTAAAGCCAAACAAGTCAACTGAGTTTTTAGCTGATCATAAACAGCCTGGAAGAGATCTTAACTTTGATCCTGTTTATTTCTGTGGACTCTAATTCTACAGTCTCTCCCTGCGAGACATCAAACAGGAAGAAGTGCGTCAAAGCCCCAGGGAAACTTGTTGCAATCCTTGGAACCCGTGCCCTCCTCCGGCGAAAGCTCCCACTGCACAATGATGCCTTGTACCGAGACCTGTGAGGACCAAGGGCACAAGGAAACTGATCCCTAACTTTCAAGGTTGCCAACAAAGCAGTTTAAAGCCTCCAAACAGAGAGTGGCCCAGCATTCCTATACTCCATTTCGGTGTTGTAAAAAACTCTCAAGAGTTCCCAAAGCAGAGAAGGCCTAAGTTTAGAACACACAAAAAAGCCGGAAGCTTGAAAAAGAGCAAGCGTGCAGTTTTCCCACGTGGGCCGCGGGCAGAGAGCCAAGTCAGAGCGGAAGCGTTGAAGTCAGTCAGGGCTCAAGGAGCCCGTCTCAGCGGTTGCAGGTGCCCACCCACCTGGCACACCCGCTAGCCCCTGCCGAATGCATCTGCCCAGAAAGGTGCTCGGGAAGGGTTGGGCGCGGGCGCAGCACCGGTCCGCTGTCCCTCTCTCTTAAGTGCTTGCCTACCCCCTGCGCGCTGCGGATGTAGCTGAGACCAAAGGTTGGGGGACGACTCTGCAATTGTTCCCTCTCCCCCGCTCGCCGCCCCTGGGCTAACCGGCCTCAGACCCTCCCCGCCGCGGCGGGGGCGCACTGGCTAGGCGCACGGCCCAGAGGCGCAGTCCCCCCGAGCGGGAGCGGGATCGTACAGGGCACGGAGGACCGCAGCAGCCGGAACGACTAATCTCACCTTCACGGCCGCGGGAGTGGCACCTGAGGCCATGGCTGCGCGAGGAAGGAGCGACGGCCTCGGGCGGGGTGGAGACGTGGAGCGGCGGACTGAAGCGGTTTCAGGCGCTGGGCCCGGGGCTGAGCGACGAGGTCCCAGGGGCGGCTGTGGCTCCTCCTCTTCCTCCCCGGGACAGCTGGATTGGCTGCTGGTGTGGGATCTCCCCCGCCACCCCCCCACCTCAATTCGAGGTTCCAGTGTCCCGCCCCGTTTGCAGACCTTTCTGGTTCTCTGTTGTTTTTTTTTCGACCCCCAGTTATAACTAACGGGCTCATGATAGTGAGAATAATGGAGACCGTTGATTGAGTACTTATGTTGTTCCAGACTCTGTGCTTTGCACTTTAATCAGCTCCGTTAACCATCACAAGAACGCTACAAAGAAGGAAGAGCAACACTCCCGGCTCCGCCTTGTCTCAGCTGCAAGCTCGGCCTTATCTGTAAACCCAGGCCCATTCTCGGTGCAGAAGTTCTCGCGGGAGGGAAAATCGTGGAGAGGAGGGAACAGGTTCTTCGCCGAGGTTACCTCCAGCTGCTAACGCGGGACGGGGCGGGGCGCTGTTGGCTCAACCGGGGGTTTGCTCCTTTGTGTTAATTCGTGGGGGACAGAGCAGGGGTGGGGTTGACCCAAGGCTCAGGGATGACAAAAAGAAAATAAACAGAGTAACGTGCTGCTGGATAACCTTTCTGACCTACAAACTCTGGCTGTTTGAGGGCAGGCTTTCAAGGGGATAAAATATTACCTAACTCCTAGCCTGGGTCCACAGGGCCGGGGCCATCTTTAACCTTACCCACACCAGCCAAAGTCCAAGCGAACTAGATTCAGAATCCAGACTCATGTCTTCATCACTCAACACTGGCTGGTCACCCACCCACCCCCGTTATACCAGCCCTTCACTGGGATAATCCCTTACTCTCAAAATCCCCATCCCTTCTCTACTGGGATAATCCAATTTAAACTCTCTGGATGGATTAAACTCTCTTCAACAAAATGCTGGATGGCAGTGATGTTCTGATATACAGAAACTTTGCAGATTACTCTGGGGGTGGGAGAATGGCTGGGGAAGGGTAGACTTT